CATCTCTTCTATTTCAAGATGGATCTCATCACCATCATCTGTAGCAGAAGAACAACACCCAATCACCCACAAAGACAAAGATGAAATGCCCAAGCAGGGCAAAGGAGAGAGAAGAGAAACAGAGGAAGAAGAGGCAGTACAAGAAAACCATGTAAATAAAGAAACAGGTGAAATTGGAGGGCCAAGGGGACCCGAACCCACCAGGTTTGGGGACTGGGAGCGTAATGGCCGATGCTCTGATTTCTGATGGCCCCTTCTAGTAAGCCGCTACGGTTTGCGTTTCCTTGATTTTATTTGTTTATTTGTTAATGTTTACTTTTCTTCTGCGTACCGCCCTTTTTTTTTACTTCTTGTTTGCGTTTTGCATCTTCAGATAAATAAATGTTATGATATATCAGCCATGTTCTTCTTTGGAATTCTATAGGGTAGGGTTTTACATTGGATGTTATTCTATTTTTTGTTGTGCCGCATTTTGTTGCTCTTTTGATATCATATAAATTATGAAAAAGATTCAATTTGGTCTCCGAATATTCTGCATATGCACTTACACATGTATCATAATCTGCAAAAAAAGAAAAGGCATAACGGGGGTAAGTATTGCATTTTAGGAATTAAGAGTGCTGCAAATACAATTTACGGATTATGAGCGGTTTAGATCCTTGCCTCCTTGATTATACTTTCTAGGCTGGCAGCTGGGTTTTGGTTATTGAAAAACAGATAAGGAGACAATTTGGATTGTCTCCTTTGTGGCGCTTGATATATGAATATGCTTATATGCATATGAAACTAAGATTGCTATGAGCTTAAATTATGTATGATGTGGATTAAAATGCAACTTGTGGATTTCAGTATACGGCTAAAGGAGAAATTGATACTTTGATATTTGTGGGGGAACATTTTATGGGGGTACAAGTGTGAGTTAATTTGTTTGCGCAAGTGTATCTTCATGGCTTCTCTTTGTGTGCCTACATGTTCGTGTAGCTTGTGTAATACAGGTGTAGATGCAGAACATCATACATAACATAGATGCTCATATATGCACCTGGAAGTGTACATATGAAGGCACCAACTGATCATGTGAATGCACAAAACTTGACCATTCTCCCACTTTCGGTAAACATTGCGATTCTTTGACAACGCCATCAGGCTTATGGCGGGCCACCTATGAGCCCTTTGGCTTGGCCTCTCTATTACTTCTTTCATTAGTGCTTTGATTTTGTTTTGAACTCACTCACTTCAATGAGGTGTAGTGCCATTATCTTGGACATACTTACATCATATCAGGAATCACAAGAAGGCAATTGTGAGATTTTGGCTTAATTTTTACCTTGTGCATATGTACTCTTGCACATGACAGTACACCATGTGCTGGTCCTTACTTCTGATATGGTTAGACCAGATCACCATAATGGTTAGGTTGTCAAAGTATATGGGTAAAAGAGACCGTGAACTGAGCTAATAAAGGAACGAGCATAAATTTCTACACTTGAAAAAGGAAAAATCTGGCAGTGGGTCCTGGCCCAAAAAGAAAAAGGAACCCTATAGGAAGAAGGAGCTCTGAAGAAGGACTAGGCTTTGACAACGGGGAGCAACATTTAAATCTATAAGCAAAATGAGCCTGAGAATAGGGAGACAGAGGGAGAGTAAACCTCACATACCTGGGCACAAGAGGCTTGATGTTTTTGATGACTCAGACCATACCAAAAATAAGTGAGCAGGTACTCTAACCCTCCTAAAGAGAATTCCAACAAATTACAACCATGGTGCTGAAAATTAAATTAGGAAATAGGCCTGGATGGGCAAGAAACCACTTTTATTTCCTTTTTTTCTTTTTCCTTTTATTTATGACTACATAACCTTGCAGTATTAGTAAAAAAAAATTTATTTTATTGTACATACCCAAAGGGTCTCAGTATGACACTGAGGTCACCCAGAAAAAAAACAAAAACAAAAAACAAAAAACAAAAACAAAAAACAAACTCATTCCCATTTTAAATTCCTTGTTATAGCAGGTCATTGTAACATAGAATGACATAGTGAGTTCAGTAAATCTAAAGTGAACGGCTGACTTTCCTACTGAACTTCCATTCAATGGTTTGCAAACCAAGGCACCACTGTATGACAAGTAGGGAGTCTGCGTTGATCTATTAGGTGTTGAGTATGAAGTGCTAAAGCCCTCTCCTCTCCTGCTAAGACTGCTGGGAGCCAACTCCATTGTTGATGCCGATGATTGGGCCCGCAAAGCCCTTGAGGAAATCTCCTAATGTGCTTCTCAAAATGCCACCATACATCGCCTGGCTTGTAGCCATTGGTGTTTTGTTTGATTCATAGTTCTGGTGAGTTACGGATTTCTTCTTTGAGGATTCGTTCTGGTTGTCTTTTGTATAATGCCCCAAGCATGTTAGATGCGAATTTCACTTGTGCTGGAAAGACCAGCTAGCTTTAGGGTTGAGTTGTCTGTTTGATGCGTCGTGAGATTGCATCTTGGAGTACTCTCTTTTTCTCTTTATTATCCTTCAAAAATGTGTTGCTTATGATCGTTCCAAATCTTTCAAATTATGAATATGCCTATAACACGCCAAAGAGCCCGAAGTTATCCCTTACTGTATAGTTTTGACTAAAGCCATGCAATGAGCATCTTCACAACATTAGCACTCATCATTCTTCGAAGATGGAAAAGACCAACTTAATACTGCGAACAAGATGGTAACAAAAATCTCAGGTTGAATGTATACAGATCCAAAGGTCAAGACCACCGACTTGGGAAGCTGGAATATAATGGAATCACGTACCCGAATGAAATGCAAACCTGCATTTCCATGAGAGCCATCCCTCACTGGAAAGGAATCTAAGTTATCTTACCTCCCATCAGGCCACTGCATAGTATGGTTAAATCATCTTATGTCTTATTTGTCATATAAAGCTGCAAATCTGTCATGCATATGGAGTATGTTCAATTGCCAATTAAAAAACGCTATGAAAATGGTCTAATATAGATCAAATAGACCAACATGGTCGAAATACATCAAATTGAATGATTTATACAGTCAGTATTAGATCAAAATTGCGTAACCATGGTAAAAGATTGTTGGGTAGTTTAAACACCATTTGATTTTTCAACTTCAAATATAATCACAGAGGCCAATATCATACTCAGATACAATTTTTTTTTGGTAAAATGTTACTTGTTTGAATAAAAAATAATAGGCCTTGTGACTGTATATACTCAACAACAATCAATATTTGATATCCCTAGATATTTTATAAAATTGAACTCAAATATGTTTAAATATAACCACCTGCATAAAACGCACTATGGTAATGGTTTCATACAAGATATTTGAGCAAAAAGCTTACAAATATGCTTCAACACAGACAAAAATAGCATAAGGGTGTAGGGATTATAATACGGCAATCACAGGCATGAATATGAAATATATGAGGCATTTTTATCATATTAAGATACTTTTTGACAAAGCCTCAACATGGGTTTAACCCATTTGATCATGAGCAGTTAGAGAGAGAGAGAGAGAGAGAGAGAGAGAGAGAGAGCATTTGAGCAATGAGCAAAATATTACTGAGCAACAAGCCCATCATAAATATTTTATTTTCTTTTCTTTTTCTTCAATGTAATCATCTTTAATATCATTATAATTGATAGTGATATTATAATGGAGAATTGCAATCACATATATTATATTGGTGCTTGCCTAATTGAGGGTATAGTCATTGATAGAGCAAAATGGTAGACTACGATTTCTATTGCTGATAGTGAAAAAAAGGTTTCTGATGATGATCTATGCCTGCCTTAGGACTGGTTTCTCCAAAATGGTCACACTCCGGGGCGAATTTGCTCATTTGATTTGTATTTTATGCTTTAGTTTCATTTGAGTTTGAATTCGCTTTTCAAGGGAACAATGGCAATGATTCGTCCCTTGGATTATATGCCTAACTTTTTTTGTAGAAACCATTGTTATGTGAATTCTCATGTAAAATAAAGTTCACTAATGAGAAGTATATGTTATACCAATGTTTGACTACTCGGTCCGAGTCCCAAGTGCTCGGGCTCGATTTCCCTGAATTGGGTGTCCCATTCGGGGATACTTAAAATTTTTCAAAAAAACATAAAAAAAATTAAAAAAATAACAAATTTATTGTGGTATGTTGTTTTTTTTGTTTTCAATCATTTTGGCAAATATTTGAAAGTGTTTTAACCAATAATACTTATTTTTACATTTTTTTATCTTTTTTAATTATTTAAAAAAATGCTCCCCCAATTGCAAGTTGATTTTTTAAAATATATATTTTTTATTACTTTTAACCTCATTTTGATGTGTATTGCTTGATCTTACTTTAAACATACATTTCCTTTTTTTTTTTTGCTACTATAGTACTTGGCTCTACTCGGGCCGAGCACTTAGATCGGACATGGGCCGAGTAGTCGTTTTCAACGCTATGTTATACCACATGTATTTATGCACGCACACATTTGTGTGTGTGAGGTGGATATACAAGGAGGTAAAAAGTGATGGATGTCCCATTCATTGAAAGTGGTTAAAAAGTGATGGGTGTCCCATTCACTGAAAATGGTTAACATTTCATAAAGAGAGAACCTTACTGGTGGTAACTATTACACAATATTTGAACTTTCAGGAACTCAAGATTTGGGTTAAAATGCTTGGCCACACTTGAGATTGGTTAGGTGTCTGTCAACAAGTATTCTATTCTAGCAGATTGCTGTTAATCTAGGGAATCCAAATCTAGTTGAATTTTTCTTCCAAATAGAAGTAACATTTGGATGTGTTTAATCTAGGGAATCCAACTTCTTTTCCAACCCATGGTTGTGTATTTTAAGGGGTATTTTGAAATTAAATCAAACAATATAGGTAAAATCTCTCACAGTTATTTTGATAAATTTCCCTAAGATTTTATGAGCATAGTTAAAGCATATTCACAATAACTTGAAAAAATCAAAATGAAATTAGTATTGGTCCCAAAAATAAAGAGAAAGAAAGGGCAAAAAGAGCAGAAATGCCCTTCAAATTTGACTCAAAGGACACATTGAAAAATTGGGTTAAGAAATTATGGAATTCCATCATTTGAAGGGCAACTCACTAAATCTCATATAATCACACAAACTATAGACCAGCACATACATGTTTATTATTCATAGTTAACTTTCATTGTCTAGAGACTATATCTTTGAGAGCTTGATCCACTTCATCTTCGGGCATTTCAATTGTTTCGTCACTATCAGCCCCTCCATCATCGGTCATTAATTCTGTTTTCTCATCATCATCCTCGTGCTTTTCATCAGACATAGGAAGCATTTCAAGATGGTGCAGCTCTTTTTCATAGATGCTTTTGCAAACAACAGCCTGTTCTAGAATCTCTTCCCTCGAAAGCGCATTGGTGCCAATTTTCTTGCTCTCGAGTTTTGCCAATTCTTTTACCACCAGAGGGACAGAGCTCCACCTCTCAATCACACGAGCAACATCCTAGGGACAATTGAAATCATTTACAAAACCTCCACATTTAATTTTCAGTGGAAGTGAAGTACAAACCAAAGAAAAAGTAAATGAACATATCATAATTTGGAAAATAAAGTTGATTGAGAAGTTGGAAGCATACTGTTTTATCCTTGAGAGCATCGATGGCATCTTCCAGGCAAGTTAAGATCCCTTCAGCTGCAATTCTCTTCAGTTCTCTGGGCTCGGGCTGTTGTTTAAAGAACAAATGAAAGAAAAAAAAAAAAAGGGGGCTCATTATTCTTGCTTCATTTGTACTATATGATTTTATACCTTGTAAATACCAGTAATACATCATAAAACCGTTCCACAAGGAAACGAAAGAGATTTAAAATTTAATCCAAAATTAAGATGGAAAGGTAAACACAAATGTTGCTTTATACACTTGCATTGCTACTTGTTCTTTATCTGAAACTGTAGACACACTAAGGCTACAATGCTAAGCAAAGATACTATGATGCTCATTACAAAAATACAGAATAAATATATTAAGAGCCAGCGCTGAGACCTAAACAGAAGGCAAAATAATTTTAAATGTCTTAAATCTAAGATATGAGTTTCAAGCATTGAAACTTTATGTAGGAAGAAATTTAATATTAATCAATATTTGATACAAGATATACATGAAATGTGCTATTGTAGGGTGACCAAGTTTCACCTGAAGCATTTTTACAGGAAGTAGGTAAAGAAAATAAGCATTTGCACATGAAATCTGCAAGAGAGTTTCAGTAAATATTACCAAAAGTACATAGATATTGGATTCCTGGTCTAGATTAAGATAAGATGAGTAATCTTTTTTCGATAACTAATACGAGTAATTTGAATTTCTTACCAAAGACACCAGAATAATTTTCATGAATCCAAAATAGGTTAGGTCGTGGAAACTATTGCTTATGCTTATTCAGGTTTCTGTGGACCCTGGATATTGTTGGCCTCATATGGGGTTTCCTAGAATGGGTTCAGTTTATGAAGTCCCTGTTAATATTTCCATTAGCACAGTATAAAAATTAAATGTCAATTATCTTGGTTATATATACTCTTAAACGTCCTCAAGTTTGTAATGCCTTCTTCAGTTCAGTTTGGGATTGAAAGATAAATGGGTTTTTTACAATAATATGTATATATCTATTTTATTCTACATAAACATAGATGTATTTACTACATGAGAGTTGATCCGTACAACTATGTGGCATAGTTTAATTATTTTTTATTGACTTCACCTTTATAAGGAGAGCGAGAGAGTTTCTCTCTGAGTCTACCTTCCTCATCCCTCTCTCTCAGACTTCTCCATATTTACCCAAAAACAAAGACTTCTTTATTAAGTATGTCCCTCTCTAACTTCTCTCCTAACCAGTAGAAAAAAAAAAAAAACTGAGAGGAGGCGCAATCGCAAACGACCAAAAGCAGGGAGACCTAAGGTGACACATAGAAAGAGCGCTTTGTGTTGTAACCCAATGGTAGAGAGATAGATCTTGCTTATCTTGCTTTTCATCCTAGTAAGAGGAGCATCAAGATACATGTGGTTGCCACTGCAGCCTTGTGGGAAATTGTTGTTTGTAGGTAAGATAACAACAGGTTAGAGAGAGAGAGAAGGGATTAGCGAGATAAAGAAGGGGAATTTATTCAGTTGGTAAGATATTAGAGAGAGAAAGAGGGGTTAGAGACAGAAAGAAGGGCATTGTGTAGTTGGATAAGATAAGAAAGGATTAGAGATAGCAGGGTTGTAAGTTGGGGACAGAGAGAGAAAATGGGTTTGTGCTGTTACGGGTACAAGAGAGTTAGAAAGAGAATGGGCGGGGGTTGTATGTTGGGGTTAGAAAGGGAAGGGGAATGTGTTGTTTGGTGAAAGTGACTTATAGAGAGAGAAATGGGTTGTAACTTGTATAGAAAGCGTACAGTGCCAATAGGTGGGTGTTCAAACCTTGCCAACAGTCCCTCTCCTTCGCTCTCCAGAAACCCCTCTCACTCTCTTACCTATCCTTTGGTATTGGCATGGAGCTGGTGTATTATAGTTAGCTGCTCTATTCGTGTTTCCTAGTGAGAGAGCTTTCGATTATATATTTCAGCCACTGTGTTTGAAAACTTTCAAAAGTTTCAAAATTGGTGGCAAAATAATTCCACAAAAGAGAGAGAGAGGTTCATAGCAATTATGAATCAGCAAAAACCAATTCAAGAGGTACCCAACTGTAAAATTTAAGAAACCCAAATGGAAAAAACCCATAACTCTGTTCGTCAAGTGAACAGTAGAGGGAGAAGAAGGGCTAAAGGGAGAGTTGGAGGTTTGAAAGGGGATTCATTCAGATGGGAATAGGCAATCTTCTCTATCAATTATGGTTCCAAGAAATGGATGGCAGAATTTCCTCCTTTTCCCAAATCTCAAATACCACTCTCTCTCTTCTGCCATCATTTCCCACTCTAAAGCTGACTGTGATACCATCTTCCTCATTTACTCCAGCACCCCAATTGCCACCTCCTTTTCATAGTTCTTATCAACCTCCCCAATTTCTCTATTCACCCCTCTCTCTAAGGTCAATCTAGCCTCAAATCCCCTCCATTTCTTTGATCTAGAACCTTGACAAGAAATCGGCCACTTCTCTAGTTCCAACTGCATATCCCAACTGGTTGTCTTGATGGCTGTTGATGGAAGCCTGTGGACAAGGGAGGGTGTGTGCAACAAAGAGTTCAACATGGAGGGGCTGTAGAGCAAGTGAGAAAAAGGAGAGCACATGATGGCAGGTCTGTTTAGACTTTAGAGAGAGAGAGTTGAACATGAAAGTTGTATTTTTGACCAAGGAGAATCAAGTCCAAATTTGATATTTGATAATTTTTATATTTCATGCCTTTGTTCAGTCTTTTCAAATTGCTTGTTGGCCTGTGACCTCTGCCACGTATTATATACGGATCTATGATCATGTAATAAAGCTAGATAGGGTAGCAAGCCTATATTGTTGAAGTTACATTTATGTTTATGTAAAAAACCCAAAGATAAACCAATCAGAACTATCACAGAGGTTAACATTCTCATGTGCTATCAGGCATCCACTGGAACTCATGTCAAGAATATGAATAAAACTGAAAAGATAGTGGACAGAACAAGCCATGGAATGCCCATAAGGAAAATGATATACCACTCACTTTCTCTTCTTGACTCTGCAGCCATGATATAGTACTGTTGAAATCAAGAGAAGCCCATTCTTGGACTTTAGATGAAGAAAAGGGCAATTTATGGGATTCAGACGCTTTTTCCTGCAGAAATAAAAGAGTTAAAATGAAAAATCACTTGGCATATGAATGTTTAACACACAAGAAAAAACACATATAAAAAATAAAGATCCAATGGCTTCTTAAGTAACCCATAGAGCAACTATTACAATTACTCAGCAATAAATAAAGTTTCAACTGTTCATGCTATATAGGTGGAGGCAGATATGGATGTAATAGGAAGGTTTGTTAAATGGCTAAAAGCAAAACAGCGAGAGAGAGAGAGAGAGAGAGAGAGAGAGTTACAATCCTACAAAGACAAGGCATGTGGCAAAAAATACCATACCCCAAGTCCTCTCCCAGTGAACCTCTGTACTCATCAATCTATCCACCACATAATTTGCTTCTCCTCTAAGCAGACGAACAAGCGAATTTTTTCAACATCTATGGCCTTTATAGCATTTAAGAATATTGCCTTGATCTTTTCAATTTACCCCAGCAAAAGTAAAAAAAGAGCGGGGTAAAACTGCCACCTCTCTTTCTACACACACACACACACATGAAGCCATTGTTAAGGGCAGGGACACAAGACAAAGAGAAGGATCATGGGGAGAAAGAGGTTTTAGTGTAAGGCGCCTATTAAAGGAGGTCTTAAGAAGTCGGAGTTTAGGGTAACTTACCTCCTATACAACATAATTATCTCTTCTTATGAAAAATACTTCCATTAGTAATTTAATTGGAAAGTTGGATTTACACCATAGGAAATCCAATTGGAAAAGGAAACTCTCCCTTTAATAAATAATTCATCTTCATCCAAACTTAGGAGCAAATACTTTGGATGTACATACACATGAAAAAGAATTCTCTCCTATTTTAAGGATTATTAGCTTAATTGGAAACCTAATCTCTAATCCCCAAATTTTAAGGATTTTTTTTCTTTGAAAATATTTGTGTTTTTTCTTTTCGGAAATTGATAATCACAGTAATAGAAATGTGCATCACACATGCCTCTTGCAAGTTAGTGTGTGTGTGCATGCCGCATGTGTGTGTTGATATAGGGAAATGCCTATGCACCCACTGGGGAGTGGTCTGTTACAATGCTTGATAAATATTTGAGCAGGATAAAAAAACGAAGTTATGAAGGTTGCAGTACCAATTACATGCCCTAAAAACACCCAAAATTATTTCTCCAGGATACATCTAAATCAGTAAAGTGCATATCAATATCCACCACAGAACCAAATCTCTGCTTTACAAGCTCATTAGGATAGTTCTAAGACAAACAAAGCAAACTACATAGCGTGGCAGTGCACAAGAGTTTCTTCAAGATCTCACTTACAAAAATAAAATAACATTTCTACCATCTCATAATAGAAAAGAGAACAATGAGCATATACCAAACATGCAGATCTACCTAAGAAACTTTGGAATGGCCTGGAATAGCCACGAGCATCAGCCTCAGAACAATTACTAGGGAACATGATAACATGTTATCTCAAGAGTGTTAAAATTCTCTAGAACCATTGAAGTATCTGCCCATCTAAATGGGTAGAACACAGCCCTACTTGCTCAGTGAACCACCCAAAGGAAAGGAAAATAAAGTTCAAATACAAACAAGTAACAATTTCTATTATTAGTCTAACTGCTGCAGAGAGGTTTATGTCCAATAAAAACAAATACACCAGCATTAGTTTCACATAGCACCACAAAGGGATTCATCTTGTGCTATGGCATAAAAGAACATTCAAGGTCTATGATTTGACAACAGTGCAAATACTTTGCTGGCCAGGTAAATTTCAAAGAAGAAAGGTGATCAGGGTTTTCAATCCCACATCTGAGAAGATGAAAAGGTCAGGAGATGCAAATTCAACTAACTGAGAGCACAATCAACTGAGAACTGAGATCATCGTAGAACTCACCTTAAACACACTAGAACCACTAGAACTTGGGGGTGGCACTCCATGAACTGCCTTGGGACGCTTTCCACACAATGCATTTTCTTGATCTGCAAAATACTCCCAAGATCAGATCCCAGATAAGAGATGAATTTCAATTTTATTTGGTGTTTCTATCGCTTTTGATAAATATAGAGGTTTAACTAAAGCTCAAAACAAAGTCCGAATTAAGGACCTAGCATTTTCAGTTGAAGACTTAAATGATTCTAACTCACGAAAAAATTACTAAATCAACCACAAACTCTAGCAATACATTCCAGCTACCTTCTGATATGTCTTTTTCAAGAAAAATTCATCAAAATTAACAAGCGAAAATAGAAAAAAAATAAAAAAATCTAGGACCATTGATAATGGAAAATAAAATTTCATTTTATTCGAAAGTATCATCATTTGTGAGTGGAATAAAATGTTACACCCCATTTCAGAGATACTCATGCACTGTAGTTATAGAACCAAACTGAATGTGCAACCTATACAGTACATATATTTCCAACAAAAGCAGAGAAATAAGCACCAAAGCATAAGAACAAGCAAAGCTTATGTTTCTAAAAAGATGTGAAGTATGCTTTGTTTCTGGGATCCAACTGTCATAGTGATTTAGCAGATGGGCCCAATTCACTTATGGGTTGTGTAAAATTCCCTACAAAGAATGGAATCATAACTTGAAACAAATGGGAATGCCAGAAAGAAAATAACGCCAGAAATCAGTTTTATGACACATATTCACTATCACAAAACGGCAAAACAAGCATCATATTACCTGGAGAAACCTGGAGGCTTGAGTTTTTGAGTTTTCGCCAAGGCTTTCCAGCATGCATCAGGAAACAATCTATCTCAACCAGTTTTTTCTGCTTATAGCACTCTGAAATCCATTCCTGTTATAATGGAAAATATACAATTTCAGATTCGTACCCATGGTTCCATAACTGTAAGAACATTAAAATTAGAAATACCAATTGCTTAAGTCAGGAATAGGGTTCAGCTAAAGGACCACAAAAGAATCTAAAACAAACCACAGAAAAGAAATGAAATCAATGTTATCCATTTATTAAGGAAGAGTATACTACAACTCAATGGACTGCAAAACAGAGATTGAAACCGATCGCAACAGGAGGTGACTGCCATGTCCCACTCTCTTCATCACTGTCTATATAGCAGATTGTGCGGACCAAACAGACTAAAATTTTTTAATTGTAGAAATTGGCCCTTAAAAATTTATATCATAATTGTTCCTATTCTTTCTTCTCACCGTGTCTTTTTCAGGATCTTTACGGTGGGGCCGAAACAAATACAGATAACTGAACAAGGAGATTTACTGTGTTTCTTACAGATACCATAATTTTTATTTTTGTTAACATTCTTAATGCAACGAATATGCTCCACATTGCCACTCAAAGAGGTGCCAAAATGCATGAGGGTTGCATGGCTTCTAAGCCCACATGATGCTTACAGAAAAATTACATTTTGGCTTGCTTTAGGATCGCTAGAGGATTATTACCTCAACAAATGCAGCAGGAAAATTAAATATAATTTATTTGCAGCCTTCGCTCACTATTTCACATGGCCAAAACCCCAATATATCCAACCTTCAATCTAAATTGCATGATCTCTTAGAATCTTTATCCAGTTTCCAATGATTGCAGCAGTTCATAACTGTGGCTCCCACAGAGGGGCACTGCCTCGAGTGGCAAAGACCACATGCAAAGCATAAAGGTTTCTAGAAAGACAAATCAATGTTTTCATGCAAGCTACCAAGGGTGACACATAGGAATTTGAAAAATATGTAGCTCATCCTTTCTAGAGACATGAATACATAGACAGTGCATCAGTTATCAGTGCACACATACAAATATGCACTAGTAGAAAATTGATACACAAGATATCATGTGTGCACTTTCAAGTGCAATGCACACATACTTGTGAATACTTATTAGTAGTGGTGCATCGTAGTTATAAAAGGCATGCGTGTAAATAAATTTAATAAATATACTGTTAAGCGTGGGATTCTGATCATAAGCAAGATGTCAGACTATGAAATCTATATCAATAGTGAATGGCAGGAATGGGGATTAACATATATACATTATTTTATTGGTAAGAATGAGGTGTCATGCAAGAAAGTCCAAAGGAGGCGACCCATCATACACACAAGCACATGCAAATGCCCCTACAGGCACGCACACTCATGCACGCATGTGCACACACACGCGCACACACACCCACACACACATAAAGTATTAGAAAATAGTGCTCGTTTCCATTATGTTTCCATTATAAATGACTTATGTGTGAGCCACATAAAGGTTTTACATTGTACCTGGGGGATACAGCAAGTCGGCAACAACAAACATGCTTATATGTGCAATGCCACTTCATCACTTAATCATTCGTTTGCAAAGGAGAAAAATAAAAGAACAAAAATCCAGAAATTAACTATCCCCTTTCATACATTGCATAACCTTCCATTATCAATGTTTGCTATATAATTCATTGATCAAAATACTCATGCTTATATATATAGAAAGAGAGTATGAAAATAAAATTCCAGACAGTAAAACAATAAAATAACATGATGTCTCAAAATTCAACAATTTTGTCTAGCATGAGTTTATTGATGGACATGATTCACAGACAATCAAAGCATAGACCACAAAAGCGTCACCTTTGAAACAATGGTTCCACAATCAGTCACAACTTGTTTAAATTTAGGGGTGTTGGGGAATGCACAAACAAGGAGAGTGCAATCTGGACTCCAATCAGATCGATATTCTGCCCCCATCTCCATTGCATGCGACCGCAATAAACCACGTTCAGGATTAACAAACCCAGATAATGCAAAGACCACTCCTTCCTAACAAGCAAATATAGTTACTCAGTATCCAGTTAATGGTAGTGCATAGAAAACATAATAAGCTTCATTAAAGAAAAAATTCTCAGATTTAGGGAAATATCAGGACAGTACATCAAACACTTGCACAGATCACGTACTGATCCAGAAACATGAAACTGAACTTGTCAGTTTTAGATGAATGACCATTTCGACCCTGGTTAAACAAAGGACCCTGGGTAAAATAGCCATTAAAAAATTACAGGTCTCAGTCTAGTGATATTTCAAGTTTCTGGACCAGATGCATCATCTATGCAAGTTACAGGTTTTCCAGGTACGCTCTTGATGTTGTCCCTTACATTTGAACTACCCCTATATATTTTTTTTTCTTTGATCGGTTACTCCTATTATTACCAGAAGTTTAGAAAACTGCATGGTACCCATTCTAGATTGGAGATCAGTCTTTTCAACAGAATTCTCCATTAAACCTGAAGTTTCTGATGAATTTCCATGACCCCTCTGCAACAATCTTTGAGCTACTTCATCTCGGGCATTTTCTTCAGAAAGGGTATTGCTATTATTCGCTCTGTTATGGTCCTGAACTTTCTTAGACTTCATTCTTTTATTATCTTCCTCATGACCAGCATCCTTTTTAGAAGCCATCCAAGGAGGATGATTTCTTCTTCCACGCTCGTCATTGCCTCTTTTAGGACTTAACTTTTCATCAGGCATTTTATTAGTCCTGTAATAAAATCAAAAGAGGATTTTGAATATGACAGCACCGAGACAGTACCAAAAATCTTTCATGAACAGTAATCAATTGAAGAAAAATTCTGAAATTGCTACATGAACATTTAGAAATGATGAGACATAAATCTAGAGGATATAGAAATTGCGTCGTATGTGATTTGGATTTTGAATTGATCTCGAAACACGCACAGAATATTTCCAAATCACAGTGCCCAATAGAATAATGATTCAAACACCATTGCATGGGAAGAAAAGCTTTTAGAAATGACATAGTAATGAAATTACTTAAAGGTCTGCTCTAGTACAAACCATTTACTAAAAATCTCACTTGACCAGATACCTAGAGGATGGATAGCAAACCCAATAACATGAAACACCAAAAGGAAAAACCTAGCGTAATCCCACCCAAATTAGTATAAGTCATTGAAGCAATTTATAATTCATTGGAGGCGCCAAAAAAGAACCATGATCATACTTTCATTTTGGTCATGCAAATATAGAGCAAATCAAGTGAATCTACAGAACCTTCAACATGGGAACAATCATATCCAATATTAACTATTTTATACAAATGTTTAAGGGAAATGAAATGGAACTATAGTCTATAATGGTTTATAACTTGATGATAAAGGAAATCCAAAAAGGGTAGAAGTGGTGGAATTTACAGTACCACTGATAACAATCATTAAGAATCAACACTCATTGACTATAAAGAACGAAAGAGTATTTAAACAAAACAAATACAGAACCCATTGATAACGAATATGAGCGCACAGACCCCAAATAATAACAAGTTTTATTGGTTACTTTCCATACACTTTCCTTGAGCTACCAGCTGAAGTTATTTATAAAGTACAACTTATTTTTCATCTATTAGTAATTGACAGCTTGAATATACTTAAGCTTGATAATTGCAATCAATCCAGGATTATGCATGAGCGACTCCTCCTACAACTCAAAAGATATGAATTTCAGTCCAAAATAGAAGAAATGGACAATACCAACTGTGAAGTCAAAATGTCATCAGATGCTTAAAAAACCAATATTAAGCCGTTGCAACTTGAACTTTTTCGAAGAATTTTACAATTTTCTATCACAATCACGTTTCAATTAAATTCTTGCCAATAATGAAAGTTTGGGGCATTAAAAACCACAAGAAATACATTGTTGTGTTATAAAATGCATTACTGGGCCAGAGAGAGAAAAAAAAAATTTGAAAACAATCATAAAAAGACAATTAAAAACATTCGATAACGATAAAGGGGATGAGTAATTCGGGTTGAGCCATGCTTGGAATTTCTACTTATATTTCGAAAGCCACGAATCATAAAATGTACGAGAAATATCAAGACAATGAATTAGGGTTAAGATCCGAGTTCATAATCTGAAGTGCGCTAAAAAGAAAAATGTGTTTCTTCATACCAGGAGTTTCTGGTCTTTGCTCAGCAGCCCTATTGCCTCTCTCTCTCTCCAAACCAGAAAGGTTCTCCTATCACTTGCCAAAAAAATTTCCCTCACTCGACATTGCTCTTATATCTCTCACCTCTCTCTTCATTCCATTCTCTCTCTTATTTGTGGAGAAACTCCTTTCGTACGGCCTCTAATAATTAGCAAACTTTTTTTTTTTTTAAAAATCAAAAAGAATAATTGCTTTCTTATGAAACAAGTAGAGACGTACTTATTATTCATGATCGCTGTCGTGTATTAAGTCATTTGACATGGTCTCAAATAAATATGTATTTTTTTTTTCGGTCGAAAATAACTTAATGTGGCTATACAGATAATTGCCCTTTTCTTTTATTTTTTATTTTTTTATTTATCAGTAAAAAGTGACTTATCATTATTTACCATTTTTAATCGCGGTCATGCACAATGTTTCCCTAATATATGCTCAATTTCCCATATTTTGTTATGAGGTTAATATGGTAACTGATGTCTTTCCTAAGATGTTATTTTTAGAGTTAAAACTTTATTTCTCTATTTTTACTTCGATCTAGCTTAACTATTTTATTATAGGGCCAAAAAATAATGAATTGTATTGCCCTATTTTTTTTATTAATAAAAAAGGGGTAGGGGCTTCTCCCCATGGACTTATCCAAAAAAACCTCTCAGGAAGCCTGCATTGATGCCTGTTCCATAGGTCACCTACTCCTACGGGAGCACGATGTTTATTTCCTCCCTCATAAAAAACTCAAGCTAGGCATTTTTAAGACAAGTTTTGGAGATGGAGACATTGAATGGCTATAGTCATGTAACGGTTTTTCATTAAAAGAAATTGAATGGTTTTGTTTACGTTACATTGTAGTAATTTTGCACAATTTGAGATTGAGTGATTTTGTTTCGGAAAATTGTTCGGTGTGGTTGGGATCGCATTTCTACATTTGCAATCCCTAAGGTATAAAAATCTATTTTAGAGATGGATGTAAATGGGTAGTCTATCTAAAAATAGTTGAAATCAACGGTCTCAATATTTTCTTAAATTTTCAAAACTTATTTATTTTTTCACATTCATCATTTCCATGTTAGAGATTACATGCCCTAAGAAATTAAGTCTAAAAATCCATCTCAAAAATAGATTTTTAAGAGGTAATTCATTTCTACATGGACTCATGTTTCCTCTTGTTTATGTTGCCGTCAAGTAATTTTTGCACATGATAAGATTGAATGGATTATGTTATCATGAAATGGTTTTGCATAGGATGAAATTGAAGGTGAATCAATGGCCTTGATTATTTTAACATGTATAATGGGTTTTGTATTTCAAGGATTGTTTATTGTCAGTATTTTTTGTTATTCAACGCTCATTCCAAACGAGGGGGGTATTCGAGTCTTATAATGTCGTCATCATCATCATAGTTTTATTCCAACTATTTGGACCAGGTAATGTCACCTGAAAAATATTATGTAGCATTCGTTGTACATTAATATTGCAACCCTATAAGGAAAAAGTTTATCCAAGTGCAAAGCTCTAACCCAATCAAATTAAAATGCACCTAAAAAATTTCACTTGAAGATGTTGTTTTGATGCTAAAAAATCTTTAGACCGATCATCTCGACCTGCATGGACCTGAGAAAAAAATGGATTTCAAGTTTTAGAAATAGTGCATCTTGTAATATATTTTTAGACCGTCAATTTTCCAGATTTTTAAGTTTTCACTACTCTTTTGGATCAACTTTTAAATTTTATAATTAAAGATGAAAAACATGTTTTACAATTTACTTTGATTGATCTGAACCCGGGCTCAATACAATCGTCTCCTAAGTAAGTTGATGAAGGGCATTTGTGTCATGTTTTTAAATTACAAGGGTAAATTCGTCATCAACGTTTTCCCGCTTTAATCCATCTTCTCCGATGGATATTCAGCGACTCCTCTACCAGCTTCATATTGTATTCTTCTCAAAACTAGGGTTCATATTTCCCTCATATTTCGCCCACTTTTTGCCTATTTTTTAGATAAAAAAACCACTTCATAAAAAATCCTCCAAAAATTTCCTGCAAATCCTTCATCGAATGGAAACCCTATCTCAAACTCTTGAAAATGACCCCCTTGCTGGCCTTTCTCTCCACTCTTTACTCCCTCGAACCCTAGATTTTGTATCCAATACTCCAGAATTCACAGGAAGCCATGAAGAGCTCCACGATCTCCTTCGATCCAAGGTTTATTTATTTTCTTACCATTATTTTGAATTTTTAAGCACATTTGTATTGTAATTCAATGAATCACTTAATTACTTAATTCTCTGCAAGTTTCCCATTTATTTCATTATTTATCTGCATTTTAGGCGTTAGATAGGGCCAACGAAATCATGGAACTTGCAAAAGCTGTTGTAGAAAGCAACAAAGAGAACAAGGAAAAGGAGAATGTCATTCATGCCAAAGAGAGAAGGCCTGGCCTTGATCGAAAAAGGCCGGTATTTTCATTAAAGCCTGACACAAGGTAAATGAAACACTTGTTGCACGTTCGACGAATTGAAATTCGACGAATTGAAATTCAGTGTTATTTGGTTATTCTTTATTTTATTTTTTTGAGATGGGGAAGCCTTAATTTTGCAATTTTTCAAAAGAACCCTAATTTTCCTTTCTTCCCATATTTTTAATGCAGTGTCCCTTCTTTGAGCTTTGATGTTAATGTGGCAGAACCCAATGTTGAAGAGCTGCAAGACCCAGCACAGTTTTTTGCTGCTTTTGAACTGAAAGAGCGTATGACTTTTTTGTTTGTTAAGTAGTTATCTCTCCAAAAACTTGTGATAATTTATTTGGATTTCAGTATTTCGTGCAGTTTAATTGATTGCTCTTGTCGCTTTCACAATGAAGATTTTATGTTTGTGTATGGAACGCCAATTTTATTGTTTCATATTTTTCCATTGAAGATTCTCCTTGTGTGTTTGTGTATAGAATGTCAATTTAATTTGTAGTATTTTCCATAGATGCCGAGAGGGAGCTTAAGAGGTTAAGAGGTAAATGTGTAATGGAGCAAACAGATGACAACAAACCCACAAAGACCAGGTTGCGTCGACCAAGTCTGCTTGGGTAAGATAATGATTGTCCGTTTCTTTTTAGTTAGTGCCATGATTCTTGAGTCTTGATGCACAGCCAATTTTTCTGGTTATCCACTTTCGGTTTCATCTTTCTCACTCTCTCTTAACTAACACAAGTGTTTGGCACCTTTGAGTCTCGCTGTCTCTCTCTCTCTCTCAAGAATCACAGATAATATGCAACCAAATTGGGTCTCCCCCTCTCACTTTTGTGATATTATTTGATGTGTTGTCCTTAACATTTAGCGTGATGGATACCAGGAGGAAAGCCATTTATAAACACGCTTACTCAAATTTACCTGAGATTGTGGAGACACATAGGCCCTCTGGCAAAGAGAATGTTATGAAGGGCAACTACAATTCTTCTCATCTGGAAAGGGCATCTGGTTCTCTTCCAGAATCTCCAAAGAGCATCAAAGGCAATGAAAAGAAGCTTGTGTTGGAAGGAAAAGGTTTGTGATGCCTAATTTATGTATATGAAACCTTGGAATGTAACTAGGGTTCTGGTTTTTTTGAATTCCACACACAGACACACACTCTCTCTCCTCTCTGTCTCTCTCTCTCTCTGGGAACTTATTGTGTAATGAAAGGCTTGCAAAGCCTCCTTTATATTGAGAACCTTGAATTTGATGAGTAGTCGGCTCCATACTCTTACTCTTTTTCTCTATCTTAGTGTTTAGATCCTTGAAGCTGATTAGTAGTCTCTTTTCTCATGCTTCATACACAATACTCTCTCTCTCTCTCTCTCTCTCTCTTTCTCTCTCTCTCTCAGTATTTTGGAACCTTGAATTTGATTGCTAGTCTGACTTTTGAAACTTCATTCAATCTCTCTCTGTCTCTTCTTAGTTAATATGGGATTTGGCCCAAGGTCCTCTTTGCAATGTTGTTAGATTCATTTTGGAGTCTTCTTCTGTTTGGTGAGAAAAATGAAGCAATTCGGTGCTTCGGCCGATCCGGGGGAAGACTTCAGAAATTTTTTTAATTTAATATAAATAAATTATTTATTTATATGTAAAATATATAAAATAATAGAAAAAATTTAAAATTTTAAAAATTGAAAAAATTATTTTTATATAGGTATTTCTTTTCTAACCGAAGCAGCCCGAAGCTTCGGTCGAAGTAGGCCGGAGTGGCCCGAATCTGACTGAAGCGGCAACACCATGCTTCTCTTCCATTGTTCGCAAAATCTCCCGATCTAATCTCTAACAGCCCGGTTAGATCAGAACTGGCCAGTGAGTTCCGATTTTGGGTGGTTAGGGCGATCAACCGGTATTTAAAAAAATGTATATAAATTCTCAAAAATAAGGAATTTGATTTGTAATCCATTTTTAAATATTATTTATATCATGATAGAGATTAAAAATTGTTTTCTTCATTAATACTCACTTTTATATTTTTCCATCTCTTTTAGAAAATTAAAAATAGCCCTTGGAAAATATAAAATGGGTTAAAATCCATTTTTTTCATTAATTTTGAAGTTCATTTGAATGTGTTTTGTTTTAATCATTCTTTATATGTTTTTCATATTTTGGTAGAATTTTTTTTGTATTTTTTTATTTTTTTTCGATATTTTTTTGACCACCCGGGACTTGTTTAGTTAGAGCGGTTGAATTGGTCAGTTTATCGGTTAGGCCGGTTAAACCGCTTTCAGGCCCATGTCCGGTTAACCGTTCTGGTTCGATTTTGCAAACATTGTTCTCTTTGCTTCGGTTTATGCTTAAAATCAGAAGGCTTCGGCCTATTCGGCCGAAGCGAAGCAAATTTGATAACATTGCCTCTTTGTACCTCTCATTGCCTGACTCAATATCATCCTTCATTTTGCAGAATCAGATAAGTGTGATGTTGCGGAAAATGAAATTAATGAACTTTTGCAGCGTCTTTCTACTAGCCAAACAATGGATGAGGAGGGAACAATTGATTTATTGCAGAAGCACCTTCAGCTAAAGGAAGTTGAAACGAATAAAATGAGCCTTCCATCATCATCGGAGTTGATAAAGGGGGCAGATGCAATGCCTGGTGGCAAAATTATTCCCCGAATGTTTCAACCTGAGGTGGGGAGTTCCAAAAGTCCATTCACTACACCAACCCCTCCAAAGAGTCCGCTTGCCTATATTTCATTGCTTCAGCGCCATGTTGCTGATATGAGAGTGTTAAATGGCCCATATGAATTTTCCCTTGAGATGGAAACCAACCAATATACTTTAGCTATGGTAGGCAACCAAGTACAATCTCATTCACTTTCGATGGATAGTGATGGGGTTGAAGGAATAAGGCCAATTGCTCATCAATCCCCTATTCCCAAGACGGTTTATGAGAATCACAGTTCTAATGATTCCCTGATTCCGAAGGCATTTGATGAGAACCAGACATCCTTTGATGGTGCTTGCCAATCCGCAGGGCTTGACGAGGTAGACAATACTTGTAGAGATAACCAAACAGAAAACGAACCAATTTGTGTTAATGATTTCCCTAGCCCATTTGATAGAGGCATCTGTGACACCTCAACTGGGTGCGATATTGATATGGATGTTGGGCCCAGCAAACCAAATAATTCCGCAGATTTAGTAAGTTTTGATGGTTTTCCTTGTATTTGTTTTCTGTTTATGTATTTATTTAGGAGTTGTCAATAACTAACAAATAGGAGTTGTCAATTACTACTTGCTGTAACGGGGTGGCCCTCTGATGGATTTCTGTGGATGTTGTAGATTGAGGTGGAGAAGGAACCGGTGCTAGATACGACTAGGTTATCCAATGGAAACACAGTTCCCCATGCAGGTCTTGTTGAATACATCACATTTCTCTTTATGAGTTTTTTTATTTATTTATCCGGAGTGTTTCTCTATTTGATTTATTTAATTGTCTACTGCTAGCTTCGCAACTTTTGTGATGGTTTACTTTTCCTTTATAGGATTGATCTCTGCTTAAAATTAGTGTATTGCTAATTTTCAATGTGGATGTTATCCAATTTTAATATCCAGAATTTGAATTTCTTTTTACTTTCTTTTAATTTTTCCTCATTTAGAGGAGGCATTGATGTTGATGATGGAGAAAAGCTAATGCTTTATCCAAAAACAAAAAAAAAAGATATACACTGGAGTCTGAGTTCTTTAGTTGTTACTTCGAAAGGATATAAGATGGAGAAATGTGTTATCTGAGGTTGTGAATACATGAACACAAATCTGGCTCGTTTGAGGTGGTATAGATGGAAAGCTGCTTCACGTCTTTGGCTATCCATTCATGTCTCTTTGTTGATTTAAGAGAGTGGCATGTGAAACTCTCTTTCACCTGAGATATGAAGCCTCAAGTACGTAATATGCTAATGAGACATGAAGCCTCAAGTATATAATATGCTAATAATGAAAGAAAATAGAAAAAGGAAAAAAAAAAAAAAATCTTCTTTTGTGAATAATAATAATATCATTTTTGACCCTTAATTTGTTGGGACAGAGACTCATAGTAATTACCCAAAATATACCGTCTTTGAATCAGGGCAGAGATATTTATTGTTTTGAGGCTCCTGATTTCATTCTATCCAAAAGACACCAACAAATGTGCAGCCAGTTATGACATTTTGTGGATACTGACCCTTTTCCATTATTTTGTACATCCACAAATTGTTGATACTTTTATTAGTTTTTTGAGAAACAGTGTTCTTCTATTATATATTTCCGATATTTAGAAAACTAACACTGATGAGGAAATGTTGTTTGTTTTTCATTCACATGTTCTCCTTTGCCTTTATGTCGCAGATGAGAAAATTCATTTTTATATGGCTTTGATTTTTTTGATCTTGTGTTTCAAAGTTGGTGTGCTTACTTATTGTGTTTGGCAGATTGGTTCAATGCTGATGCAGGCATTCACATCCCCAGAGAAGGAGATTTAGGACAGTCGAGAATTTCAACAAAACAGAAAAATAAAGAGGTTATAATCTACAGATCTGTCTTGTTTTATTTTGTTTACTTTTTGGTTTAGATCTTTTACTTTTTCATTATCGTTCTGAAAGATTTGTAGGACATTCTATTTTTTAGGGAAGATACATTAGTATTGGCCATGCTTCCTAAAACAGTGCAATTTTGGTTTTAAGGTAGACATGCAGATGAATATTCTGTTATTTTCTTGGCAAGCTTTGATATAAATGGTTAGATGTGTTATTAAACTCCATGTGACTTTAATATAATGATTTTTTAACTAAGTTATTTACTAAGGTTACTTTTTAGTAGTTAACATACTTCATCGTATGTTAAAGTGTTGTGTGAGTACGTGGTTAAAGTGTCTAGTACTCCAGCATAATGCCAAGACATGTCTGAACATGTACTATATTAAATAGTTTATATAATATACTTTCTCACCGTACACATAATGCAAGGCGGTGCAGTTGTAGATTATGCTGATCGAGCTTGCCTAATGCACCAGCTGGAGGGTTACATTTTTATTTTTTATTAAACAATAGTATTCCATATGGGATATATAAAATTGTTTGCCGAATCAGTGCATATACACCACTTACGGGTCAGCGAACCCTATGCTTACTTTCAAGAGGAAGGTGATTCTAGACTTGTGGAGCACAGCATTTTCATTTTTAGGTGAGTCTTTAAACTAAAAAGGCAAAAAAAAAGAAAAAAAAGAAGAAGAAGAAGATAGCTTACATCAGATTCAAACCCATAACCTGACCGTCTTTCTCACTGGAATCCAGCATCTCAACCTAGCTGTTTAGAAAAGCATGGAACTTCTATAGGAGGTGTTGGTATGTAATAAGGTATGATGATTTCACACAACACATCTGGGCAGGGTGTTGGGGCCATGTTAAAGTACCATTGTAAGATTGAATCCAACTCATACCCTTCCTGCTTGGGTATAGTCTTCAGCATTTGTTGTTCTAATTATGTGCTGAAATCAAATCAACAACTGATGTCATGGATCTCCTCCATCATTGCTGCTAGTCTGCATAGAAACAGCGATTCCTTGCAGCCTTTCTATTGTATTAAGTGAATCACCACTGGCTAGGGGTTGGAAGAAGACTCAAAGGGTGGTTGAGAAGGGCTTAGCATCGACACTTGCAGAGTTTCCCTAACCCCACAAGGCCTGTAAATTTCTAAATGGATGTCCAGCTCCAGAGTGTCCCATAACTAGATTATCAAAAGAACTACCATCAAACCTTTGCTTAGAAAAATTTCCCGTGTTGGACGACTTTCATTGTAAATCACAATCCCCGTCTGTCATGTCCATACCATTTCTCAGCTATTTGAAACTCTGCCGAGTCAACTTGGCCTCAGCACCCTGCTGAGGTAGGTATACATGTACAAGCTCGGCTGAGAGGGACATGTGCAATATTGGGGTGACTATTATATGGACTCACTTGAATACTGTAAAACTTGGGTGAGTTCGCGCGAGCTGTACAGTACTCAGGCTAGACTGTACTGTACTCGCTTACTGGGACAAGAAAATAAAAGGAGACTCTACAGATCTCTGCACCCTTTTTTATCTCTTTCTCTGTCACCAGTTTTAAGAAAGAAGTTTGCATCAATTGGGAAGCCACCTTATGCTTAGGAGAATGCAGATATAAATTTATTTTTCTGTTTTCAATGTATCTATTGCTCTCTCCCTCTCTCTCTCTAGAAGGGGGCAGAAATACGTCCTGTCTTTTAATCTCCCTCTCTCTAGAGGGGGCAGAGATCTGCCCACTTTTTTCTTACGCGTTACTCACCCATCTGCCACTGGAAACACCACTTTCCGTCCGATCCGTGGGTCTTCTACCTCCACGCGGCATTGCTCTGTCAGGCTTTCGCCCCACTGCTGCCTCCCGATACATCTCTCTCTCTTTCTTTGTCTAACAGTGGGGCAGAAATCTGCCCCCCCCTCCCCTCTTCCCTCATATCTATCTCTGCCCAATGAAGTTTTGCCTTCTCTCTCTCTCTCTCTCTTTTTCTCTTCCCAAATGCTCTCTCTCTCTCTCTCATACCAAATGTATTTTTCCATTTTCTTGTGATCTGTTTGATATATATATGATTCAAACTTGGGGAGCAACTTGGCAAGGGCAAGGGCTGAGTCCTGAGCCCAAGCAGAGTTCTTGAACTTCGCCATATTTAAAGCATTCCTCTCACAAACCATCCCCCAAATAATGGCCAAGTATATACTAATGTTACAAACTGTATCCAACATCCAAACTTGATATGGAGAAACCTCTTATTCCTTTCCTATCAAATGCCCTAAATGATAATTACTAGACAAAGCTTCCACAGATTGAGGCTCACAAAATGTAATTGATGCCATACCCAATGGCACTGATGGTAACATATCTAAACCTTGCTAAAAAGAACTTAAATGTGTCCATCAAGATTTACTTGTCAAGGAGATCATGCAACATGATCAGGTGATTAGTTTCTTTAGTTTGGTTTGTTCCCCCTCTTTTACTTGTTTCTTTCCTTCATGTTTCTCTTCTTTTCTATCTGTAGCTGTTTATATGTCGCAGTTTATCAGTATTTTGAAGTACAACTTGATGTATACAAAATTCAAAAATCATAATAGATACCAGTTAACAGTAACAGAAAAATTATCTACAAAGAAGGTCTCACAAGTGGCTTTGGCGAGTGGAGAAGAGAGTGAATGATTATAGAGGGAGATTACTTGATGGACGTATGGTTTATCTGAGTTGGTTTGGGATCCGAGGATTCCAGGTTGGCATGCTAGAGTTCCGGTAGTTTGCCATGCAATCAGTGGAGTGTATGATAACTTATCTAGATACTTAGATTTGTTTGGAGATGGAGCATGGCGGAACATGATTCGTGTAGCGGACCCCAAATAATTGGGATAAGGCTCAGATGATGATGTTGATGATGATCGGTGATGGATCGTGCAGCCGGGTTTGGTAAAACATGTGTCGTGGGGTTACTGCACAGGGGACTTAATATTTGTCATTATTGATGTTTTCTATTGATCCTGATGTCTGGATTATTGATTTTTTCGGAGGTTTGGGGTAGGGTGTTGTGGTACCTAACTTTTCTTAGGGATTTTTGAGAAGATGAGCTCTGGGAGAGTTGGAGAGGTTCTAGTTTGAGTTGGTAAATATTTGAATTAGATGTGAATTGGCAGGTGTGAAGTTTGGATAATCCAGGATGTTTTACTACTGTAATGTTTATTTTTATAGGATTTTCTTCGGTGATGATGACCGTTTATCTTGTCTGATGATAGTTGGAAGGTCTAAGTTTTGCATTGGGTTTTAACTTTCTGATGGTTGGCATGCCATGTGAGTATATTGACGATTGACAGCCTTTAGAGGGGAGTATGCATACTTCCAATATGTTCTTTTATGGTATGAGGATGATGCTGCCTTATTCACTGCAAGCATGCTTTGGAGGCAACGGGAGATCCCAGCTTCTGGTTAGGTGTAGTGTGTCTCTATGGAAATCCCACCTGGGAGCTTGATGCTCTAGCGTTGAGCATTATGGCTGTCATTTGTTGTATTTGGAACAATGTTTAAAAGCTCATCCATGCGACGACTCACAGGATCTTGAGCCTGAGTCAATGGCTGATTTGACCAAGTCGGACCACTTGATTTAGCTGAGTCTCAACCAAAAATTCATAAAATTAAAGGAGTTGGGTTAGACTCACCCTGATTTTAGGGTTAGTGGTGCCGTGTCTGAGTGACTCGGGCGAGTTCGAGTCACTGTTTTTTAAAACATTAATTTTGAAAGAGTGAAATGGTAGTGTTTTTAGATTAAAGGGAGAATGAGCTGCTCCTCTGGGATAGGATTGACTATTTTCAGATTAAAGGGCTTTTGTCTTGACTAATGTGCTTTCAAGGGCATTGACTTGGTCAAGCATTGGAAGAATTTGGCTCGATTAGTTCCATCCTTATTTCAAGCCAGACATTGTGGATTTCTCGGAGGGCACTATTGAGTTAAATTTTGATGGATTCTCACAGAATAATTTGAGAGTGGTAGGTATGGATGGGATTTTCAGGGATGAAGTTAGGAAGCTCAAAGGCTAGTCAATGCGATTGGGTATGTGTGGTTCTAATGAACATTAGTGGGGGCTTGTGCGTTGCTTATAGCTCTACAGATGTGCCCCTTCCATCTTGGGGAGCTGTTAATACTAGAGGGAGATTGTTTGAGTGTCATAAGTTGGGCCAAAAAGAGTCCTAAATATTGTGGAGGGTGGCTATATTTGGTGAGATCTTCGACATTTGTGACACTAAGAATCGGACTGTTATGCACATTCTTAGGAAAGCTAACTAAAAGGCTGACACCTTTGCTAATCAAGGGTCTTTGAGAGTCAAGTTATGTTGACACATTTTCAGTTTAGGAGTGCTAAGACTTGTCATGACATCTCTAGAAATTTGTTCTATGTTTTTTTTTTGGGTCAATTTTCAGCGTTCAAAAAGGCAGATTCGGCCACCTAGCTGGGCGCCTAGAGACCTCGGGGCTCATACACAAATGTGCTTGAGAATTGAATTTGAATTACTAAAATTGTAAAAGTTTGGAAGTTGTGAGAAATTCATCCATTATGCCACAACAAAAAGTCACAAATCCATTCCATGTGAATGATCAGTTATTAGATGCTAACATGCCGTAAATCCATGATCATCAATGTACATCATCATTCAGCACTAGCAACACTAAGTCACAATTCATACGTCTCAATTATAGTTGCTGGGATCTCCGAACATAGTTGGCGATTCCGCTTTGAAACCTCAGTCCGGCTCTTTGAGAAGGGGATCTCGATTCTCGGTCCGACTGTTGAGGATCCTGATTCTCACTGTTAAGGATCTCGATTTCAACCTTAAAGACCAATATAATAACCAAACTGATGATTTTCCTAATTTGAAGCCAACTAGCAAACGCAACTGTACTTTCAATATAGTTGCATTGTTGGCTGGTTATAGATAGAGAGATCCCTACTTTGAAGAGTTTATATAGTCTTGT